GTGGTTAGCGATATGCTGCTATTCTGGTGTTCCTGGTTTAAGAACTTGATTTGGTAACAGTAGAAACGTTTTGCTTTCATTTTAGTCGTGTACTTGGTAGCGTAGTTGATTGCGTCAATATTAATGTCAACCTCAGCGCGCGCGTGCCAAGGGAATTCTTATGGACGTTAGAAATTAGAAGGATTTGTATGGGAAGAAGACGCTTTGCACTCCAGTCATCCGTACAAATCCTTGTCATTTTACAAGTTTTCAAACTGCCATAAAATCTTTGCCTTTTGGTTTAAGGATCTTCCTCTCTACCAGCTTCCTCTCTACAATAGTTTCATGCCAGTCGTTTCCTTCAATAGTGATAACGGAAAAGGATTCTGGAGGGCAAAGCTTCCCTGCCCCCATACAAAACCTTCTGATCTTTGCAATACAGTTCAGATCGTCATAAAATCTCCATCTTGCATGCCATTGGTCTGAAAATTGGTGTTCTGGCTATTTAAAGCGCGCCCCTTCCATTTCTGAAATTTATATAGCTGAAACAAAAAGTTTAAAAATTATCGGTCACGTGACCAATTTTGCAAAGGCCTTTTACAATAATTTTCTGCACTCGTTATGCAGGCGGTAATGCCTGTTCCTTGTGGAAAAGCATGGTCAGATNAAAAAAAAAAAAAAAAAAAAAAGCCTGTAACGGTGGAACCACGAACCTCTATTTAACGAAGACCTCGGTATAAACGAACGATATCCTTCGCACCAGCAATAGTTAATTATATGGATAAGAACCTCGATATTACGAAACCTCGTTATAGTGAACAAATTTTTCTAGTCCCTTGGCATTTCGTCGCAGCAAATGTTGTGATCTGTTCCAGGCTCTCGATTGGGGCGTGCGATGAAAAAAATGAGGGGAGACAGGGTTCTTCCCCACCTCTCGACGTTTTAATTTATCCCACTGTCTTGCGTACACGACTTAGGGAAGTGCGTTTCTTGTCATAGTAACAATTTTCATTTTTCTCCACATTTCTGTGCGTTTGCCGTGCCTGTGACGCCCTACGTCGTTTCGTAATTACATAGCCTGTAAACCAGCTCTTTTAGGGCGTGTCCCCTTATACTTTGTTTTGTTCTTTCCCCGTTTTTCCAATGTGATCCCTACATTCCCTTGAACATTCCACGCACTCTCCTTCGTTCTGAATTTTAAACTCTAACTTGAACCATAACAGCAATGACCATTATCCTAACACACAATCGAAAACAACGTTGGCACCCGGAGGGGGGGGTACTTTGGGAATTTCTGGGT